CTTAAAAAAAGAAGAATCGTGTAGACCACTAATAAGAACATTACGCAACCACCGTGAATGCAACCGAGTGGAGATGCTACTCAGCCACTGCAGCAGCACACGCGGCAGACGCAATCAAGATATTTTGTCGACTGAAAAGCCATGGAATGGAGAGTGGCATACTCGACGGAACCATATGATCACAGAATCATATGAACCATTGATTTCATTGTCACCAACTGTTGAGAAAATACAAACCTCCATGACCACTTTCTTGTCCCCGGGAAACTTACACGCCATGGGTTTCATGCACGCTTATTGCAAGTAACTCATGCATATTTTAAATGAAGCTGTGTCTACACCGAATGTTTCTCTTTCAAAAATTATGGGCCGAACAGGTGCCGTACCAAAATGGTGGTCGACGGCGGCTGGTGACTTACAGCGCTTATTTTGTTCTAAAATATTCTTTCACATCGCATTTTTCATGTATGCATAAGCGCAATTGGCCCAGCATTAATAGTTTTCGCAGAAGGCCGCGAATTATTGATTGTCCACGTCAAGTCCCCTTGAAAATCTTTGTAAGACGCAGACGCCATCTTGTTCCAACGAGTGGCTATGACGGCTGGGATTAGAGCGGATTTCTCGTCTAATTTGCTTTTTCGTTATGTAATATGTACTGCCGGCCGTAAATTAGTTATTCTGGCAGTGTAGATGTAAAATTTACAATTTGCTAATCAAACTTGTCCGTAAACGGTAGATATGGAAATAAAGTGAGGTCTGCCAGAGACAGCGAAAAATTCACTGAACGCTGCTGTGGTCCCACAGACAGCGATGCGGAAATCACACCTTCTCGCCAAAAAGGGTTAGTAGAGGGAAACGTATTCCTGCACATTCCAGAAAGGTCTATTCACAATGTACTGGGTCGGCCGCATTTAAGATGAACTCCTCATTAGTACTGATGACATCGTCGCATAACGGATGGTGAAGAAGACTAAACACTTTCGTTTTACCGCCCTGAATATTTGTGTTCACCTTAGATGTGGTACACCATGCACATAGATAGATGCATGCACCTAGACTGTGAATGTGCCTATATGCGTGCGTGGGCGTCGGAGGGGAAAAAGGGCACGGCTCAGCTTAGTGGAAGTGTGCATGTGACGTGTGTCGTTTTGCGTTGACAGACGCCGGCTTTTTCACTCCAAGAAGCCATTTGAAGTTTTCGAGTGAATAAGGACTGGTGATTACAGCTGTCATAAGTGAACATTCGTCAACAACAGCAGCATTAATAATAATAATAATAATAATAATAATAATAATAATAATAATAATAATAATAATAATAATATAATAATAATAATAATAATATAATAATAATAATAATAATAATAATAATAATAATAATAATAATAATATTAATAATAATAATAAATGATCACTACTTCACCGTTTTGATAGCACCATAGGGAGCACCGCCTATGGGCCTCTAACGCGCTGCACTTCATAGAATATCATAACGCGAGCGTCCCGACAATGTAACGAAAATATGCACAAAGGTGTTCAGACGCTGAAACGCTACTCTTTCCTTTGTCGTTCACGTGGAGAGAGTTCTCAGTGTCACTACTGGTGTTTCCAAAACGGAGTGAGGGAAGATGATCGAGAAAAATGTTTTGAGCACTTGATAATGCAAATAAACAAGGCTTGAGAGGCTTTGATATACGCAGCGAAATAGCCACTAGGTATAGCCATCACGTTTAATGTACTTGTACAGTTGTAATAACATTAAGAATAATATTTATTGAGGTTCGGGGCCACCACACCACGATATGATTGTAAGAGACGCCGTAGTAGAGGGATCCGGAAATTTCGACCTCCTGGGTTCCTTAACGTGCACCTAAATCTTAACACACATGGCCTCAAGCATTGTCGCCTCAATCAAAAACGCTGTGGCTGCGACGGGATTCGATCCCGCGACCTGCCGAAGGTCAGCAGTCGAGCACCAAATTCACTATAGTCTTTAGGGACGTGTACAAAGTTCTAAGTAACGTCAGTGGAAGAATTTTTTTCTTAGTATATCATTACAAAACTGCTTCTTCAAGCAGTAATTCTTCACTTTAATCAATCAGATTTTTGAAGGAAATAATTGTGAATAATTTGCGATTGGTTATGTTTTTCTGTAATTTGCTCAAGACCAATATTTTGGGCAAAAATCTACATATATGTATATACGTCGTAAAATTTTAACAGTCTTTAGTAGATAGATACACTGCCTAATATTTTTAGCACTCTTAACTACACTTGTAGATTACTCAATTGTCATTTTAAGCTAACTAGCCCGTGTAATAATTTATCATTTTGACGATAAGCAAGGATCAGAAAGCGGGGAGCGCGATACAGTAAACAGTACAGTTCATAAGCATCTATCGAATTTCATTTTAACAGTCACAATGTAACAATGAAGTCGCGCTAACCTAAATCTCGACTTCTTGAAATAAACCAAGATATTTTCTGTGCTTTCATTCCATATTTTTTTATTTTACTGCCGTATCTTGCGTTGACAGGCAAGCGCGATGTGTAAACTGTGCGCACCTTTTTCCATGTCTGCCATGTATATACGCCCCTCTTTATAAATGTATAGATTGTCGCTTTCTTGAAACTTTCAAAGAAACTGGAATTCCGAATCAATTCTATATCATCACTGTTCGATAAATTGAAGCATACGTGGACATGTAGACGGCCATATGTCACTTCATTATCTGTGCTTCAATAATTCAGTGATCTTGTGGTTATGTTACTCAGCTGAAGGTAGCGGGCTCGAATCCCGGCAGCGGCGGCCGGAGTTCGATGAAGGCGAAATAATAGAAGCCCGTGGGCTTAGATAACGCCAGGTGGTGGAAATTTTCGAAACCCTCAACTACGGGGTCTCTCTTAATCATATCGTAGATTTGGGATATATAAAGACCGCAATTATCAATTACGTTTAAGTTTTTCGCACGAATGAACGATAACGCGCATGCGAACTTCCAATACGTCTCGAACTTGCCCGATAGCCGATGCTTATCTAATTCTTGTCAACATATCTTGAAGTTCTTAATATCTATGTCACTTGAATGCTAGTGGTTGTAACCCAACGCTACATCTAAAAGCACTGATCATTTGACCGACGCGCCGATGACGCAGTCATGCGGCTGTAGTACGAAAATGACTAAAATTATTCAACAATGCGCCAAAAAAATAGACCGCGCCCCTCAGTACTGCTTTTGCCATCTGTGGCGGGAAGAAGAAACGACGAGAACAAATTGATTCGCTGAATGTTGTCTAGGTGGCGCCACCTTTATATTTCACACCTGCTGCAAATTTTAGGCGTTTTGCGTTGTCCGAATTGCAGGCTACGTATTTATATACCTTTAGCATGGCAGATCTGTAGCCTTTATGGCCATTACCTCCACATGCTTCGACAGCCCAAAAGGCAGTGAAAGCCCTGCTGCGTTTCTTGAGAAAGACGGGTTTGTGTGAACGTCTCTGACTTGCTGTGAACTTCTACACGCTACAGTGAAATTTCTGTCAGTCTCTCCTTTTTTTTTTTTTACTTCTCTTCCCTCTTTCTCATCTTTCTTGTCCCTTTCCTTAATCCCCCAGTGTAGGGTAGCCAACAGGATGTCTTTCTGGTTAACCTCTCTGTCTTCTCCCTCTTGTTGCTTCCTTCCTTCCTAGTCCGGGATATGCCGAAATTAAAGAAGCAATGATGACTGACGAAATTGTGAGCACACAGAAATTTTGAGCATGTTTCAGTGTACTAACATAACAACCAGCGGAGAAACGACGTGCTAAAAGGCGCGAATTACATGGTCAAATGCACATCATGTCACATCAATTGAGCTGCAATACGTGTTTAGTGATTCTGCACAGTATTGTACTGGAGTTAGTGCCAGCTTTGGTAGACGTAGTTTATTGTGTATTATACAGTTCATTACGTCCTGTGCGAAAGATAAACCTGCAGCATGGATAGCAAATATTTTCCCCATTATAAAGCAATTAAAGTACCTTACGGCTGTATAACATAAATTTAAACTGATAAAGTATATGTAAATAAAAAAGCCAACCTAAAACTTAGAACAGCGCACCATATAATATATATAATAACATTCTTGCGAGACCGGACCAATAAACGACCACAATTGACGCCCGCCTAGACCAGGAGCACAGACATCGAGGTCATGGTGTTCCTACTGAAATCTCAACGGGTGCTCAAGGAAAAGTTTTGTTTCAGCTAAAGCTGATGCCACGACATCAATGGAGACAGTACTTCGTGAGCGCATAATAGAAGCAGGATTGTTTTCATCGCTGAACGCAATGAGTCATGCAATAACAATCGCTATGGCTGCCCTACAAGTACGCGTTCAAAATATGCACGTCGAGCTTTTCGAGGTGCCGTAATTTCGAAGGCACCTGGGCTCCGAAGACAATGGGTGTTCCCTGCAATAAAACGAGGGATGAATACACCACGCCTGCTCGAAGGTAGTCGTAGGCCCGATATTGCGAAATCTACTGGGCTCGGGCCAAGCTAATACCCGATGCATTGAATTGAAACGATAAGTTATAGTTATAAATGTGTTATTCCTCAAGCAGTGGTTGCATGCTGCAGTTAAGGCTTTCATAGTCAAGTAAGTACTAAAAGTATAGTCGCTTTTGGAGCCAATTAAAATTTTATGGTTACCAACCGCGGCGCCATACACGCGTACTCGCTTCGAGCATGCACAGTCCCTCGAAGTACCCCCGAAAAAGCTAAAGCTGTCTCCTCGCTAACGAGAGGCGGCTAAAGAAGGAAAACAAGGGTTCACGCTGTTTCTTAGATTGCGACGCCCTTGACGGTAAGTGTGCGATCGATATCACATTTCTTCGAAAGTCGCGTGACGAAACAAACGGAGGGAAACACAATGGGTGACCTGCAATTACAAAACGTTTTTGTCGTCTCGTCGGTCCACACAAGGCATCCTGTAACGACGTCCGGGAAACGGAAGGCGGACATATGCCGAAACCTTACCGACGGGGGAGGACCTTCCTGCGCCGCACGTGCCTCAGTGTGAAGAAAGTGAGTCTCGGTTCCAGACACGATGGTGCTTCGGCTCTTGCTGCTTCTCGGGGGAGTGTCGTCGCTTGCAGCAGGCAAGGCATTGCTTCAGACGAATAGTAGCCGAAATATTAATGTTAACACCCCAGTCTTAAAGGGCAGCGTCACTTCTATTCGATTTTCACCTGTTAGAAGATATTAGCAGAGGAGTATGCACGCTGTAAGCGAGCAAGTGTTGAGTGGTCTGATTCTGACTTGTTGCATGAGAAGAGGGCACAGTGAGGGACACCGTCATTCTAACAAGTGCACGAAAGTGTCGGGGCGACAGTTATGATACACGTGCGGTGGCCGATCCGTATGCTACGTGCGCCGTAGTTACGCGCGCAGACCAGCCGAGCATACAACGCTGCGTCACCATGCATGGTTGGGCCCACGCCCGTGCACGATAACTGCTGCTTCGTCACTAAAGTGCAGTGGCTGAAGTGACCGACCCCTTCACGTTGTGAGTGCCTATGACATTTTTATGGTGTTCACTGTGCATTAACGTGACGATGGCGCACAAGTGCCTTGAAGCATGATGAAGGCTGTGAAAACGATGCGCTAACTACACTGTCCAAAAGCATAACAAACTTATTAGGCGTTACATTTTTTTTCTTGTGAGCTGGTACAGTACTCTGTGTGGAAGTTCATCATCATCATCATAATCAGCCTGACTACACCCCCTGCAGGCCCCGCCGCGGTGGTCGAGTGGCTAAGGTACTCGGCTGCGGACCCGCAGGTCGCGGGATTGAATCTCGGCTGCGGCGGCTGTATTTCCGATGGAGGCAGAAATGTTGTAGGCCCGTGTGCTCAGATTCGGGCGCACGTTAAAGAGCCCCAGGGGATCAAACTTTCCGGAGTCCTCCACTACAGCGTGTCTCATAATCATATGGTGGTTTTGGGACGCCAAACCCCGCATATCAATCATTACACCCACTGCAAGGCAAATGCCTTTTCCATAATCCGTTATCAACCCGGTCTTGGGCTTTCTACTGCCACGTTATACCTAGCAAACTTTTTAATTTCATCGGCCCACCTAACTTTCTGTCTCCCCCTAGTGCGTTTACCTTTTCTGGTAATTCAGTCAGCTGCTCTTAATAACCAGCGGTTACCCTGCCATCGTGCTACGTGCCCGGCCGATTTCCAGTTATTCTTCTTGATTTCAACTATGATATCTTTAAGCCCGGTTTGTTCTCTAACCCACTCTGCTCTTTTCTTGTCTCTTGAGGTTACAGCTATCATTTTCCTTTTCATGAATCGCTCGCTGCGTCATCCTCAATTTAAGCTGATCGCTCTTTGTTATCCTCCAGGTATCTGCTCCGTGGGTAAGTACCGGTAAAATGCAGCTATTATGTGCTTTCCTTTTGAGGGTTAGTGTATCTATAGATTACCATTCATTATTTGAGAATGCTTAACGAATGTGATCCATCCCACCCTTATTCTTCTAGTTATTTCACTCTCATGGTTCGGCTCTGCGGTTACTATATACCTGTCCTTAGTAGACGTATTATTTTAAAACTTCCAGCATCTCTCCACATATCGCAAAGTGCTGTTTTCTGTCGATACTGTTGCACATTACTTTAGTTTTGTGCATATTAACTTTTAGACCTATTCTTCTGTTTTCTGTGTCTAGTTCAGTAATGATGAACTGTAATTCGTCCGCTGAGTTACTCATCAAGGCAATGTCGTCAGCAAATTGTAGGTTAGTAAGATTATCTCCATTAACTGTTATTTCTAAGTCTTCCCAATCTAAGGCCCTGAACAACTACTGTACACATGCGGTGAATAGCACTAGAGAGATTGGGTCTCGCAGCCTTGCACCCTTCTTTATGGGGATTCTGACGCTTTTTTTATGGAGAACTGCGGATGCACTGTATATTTTTTCCAGTATGTTTATGTAGGGTTCGTCGATGCTCTGATTCCGTAGTGCCTGCATTATTGCTGATGTCTCAACGGAGTCAAACGCCTTCTCGTAATTTATGAAAGCTATGTAGTTGGTTGTATTCCACGCATTTCTTTATTACTTGATTTACAGTGTGAATACGGTCCATTGTGGGGTAGCCCGAACGAAATCCTGCTTAGTCCTTTCGTTGATTGAACCCTGATGTCACCTTAAATTTACTAGCTATTATTTTTGTAAATAGTTACTAGAGAACGGACAGTCAGCTGGTTGGTTTGTAATTTTTCAAGTTCTTGACGTCTTCGTTCTTACGTATTAAAATGATGTTCGCGTTCTCACAAGATTCTGGCACCCTTCCAGTCAAGAGACACTTCGTATAAAAGGTGGCCAGTTTTTTAAACACAACTTCTGTGCCATATTTAAGCAGGTTACCCATAATTAAAGATATGACTATATATTATGGCCTAGTTTACAGAAAGAACGCCACCTGTTTTCCTTCTTTCGACATCAAAAATAAAACATGGTCTTTTCTTTTTTTTACCTGCGCTAAGTTTTCAAAATTATATAGACATTATACAAATCGCGGAGATGCTATTAGAATTCTAGTCCCGAGGGGTTACTCTTTATGCACTGTTTTTCATGCAGTTACTAAAGTTGTGTTAATTATTATCGATCCTATGACGAGTTGGAAGTCTACTTGAAGCACGTCCTCGAAATGATTTAGCTGTATAAGTGAATGAAGCAGAAAATTTTGAGAAGTCGTTTCTTTGACGCAATGTTATGAAGAGTCGGAGATAATAAAAAGAAGGAAAGTAAAAGGGACGTCAATTGTCTTTTTGTCTCTGTATTTTTTGGTGCTAAGATTTCGAAGTCATACGTCAATTGTAGCTAAAAAGTGTACGGGGGGACGACCGCCGTGTAGCTTAATTAGTAAGATCATTGGGTGCGTAATCTGAAGGTTGCAGGTTTGGGTCTTTGCCAGCGGCAAGTTGTCTTTTAGTTCACTTTATTTTTCTTTACATGTGTGCCACAATTGTTATGCTCACATTTAAAACAGTTCAACTGACGTCCCCCATACTTTCCTTGGTTTCAGTATCTGCTGGTAGCTGAGCAGTATCAGAAGTAGCAGTATAAGTGGTATGTGCTGGTAGTTCAGTGAAGAAAGAAAATGATTTTTCTCATATTACCATGTCATAGTTGCAACACAACGACGTTCGCCGTGGAGAGATGTTAAGAAAGCAGGAAAACCAGGGCATACGCGGGAAACGAAAATGCAGGTCGCAACGAAAGCTTGAATTTCCCGCACTAAGTACCATGACGTCAGAGATTTAGATGGCGTTGACTATCTCCTACGTAGCTCACAATGAGTACAAATGAAGTACATTTTCCTCTGAGATGGCCGCAGACATAACATAAAGGCTTCCAGAACATTTCGTTGAAGCGATGTCATGAAAATACGAAAAACACACTTTTTAATCTGTTCAGTCGTTCACAGAGATTTAGACTCGAAATTTCAAAATTGAAACTTTGACCATGATTTTCTTCTCTATTAATAATATTATGATGGTGAAATTAGCGATTAGACTTATTCATTGTTTCACTTTATGGCCCCTCGAAAGAAGCTGCTGTGTAGGAGTTACGGCTTATTTCGTCACGATGGCATTGTCGGCACTGGCGGTGTACAATAACGCAGTCACGATTTTCGGTCAACCTACGTGACCTTTCCTTCAGCTTAATTGAAACGTATTGAATGAAAGGGGGGTAGGGGGTAGGTGGGAGTAGGGGCGAAACGTGCACCAACATTGCGTCGTGTACACCGCTCCGGTGGTGCTGTAAATTTTCCACAGCAGGCGTTTAGCGTAGAACCAGCATTAAAACCAGCGTTAAAAACAAGGAAATGTTGGTTACGAGGAGGAAGTGAAATAAACTGGGAGGTCAACCACTCAGGCGTCCCATCTACTATCCTCCACTGAGGGAAGTGATTAAGTGATGAGAATAAGTAAAAAAAAAAAAAAGAGGAGAGTGAGCGTAAAATCTGTGCGAATGTAAACGCCGTCATAGCTGGGGCCCGGGCACCTTAAGAAAGTCAAATGGTTTGTACTTTGGCACTGCGATAAAAGTTTGCACTTTAGGTTTGTAAATAACAATAATTAGAACAGAGATATAAAAGTTTATTAAAGTAAGGCTGCTTGGTTGCTGATTTATGGAAGGTGCTCTAAGGCCCCACTGGCTATCGCAGTTCGCTGAGCCTGGAAGGTTGCCAATAGGTGGATAGCAAAATCGTGGCTCAATCAAAGGATTGTGGGCTACGGCACCCATCTGCATTGACTTCCGGTTCGAAGTGCCATGCCGCCGAAGAGGCATTCCGAAAAGTTTCAAAAAAGTGCCGTCGCTTACTGTATGTTCGACCCAGCTCTTGCGGTGGTCTTTTCCCACACATTCGGAGTGCTATGCAGTTTAGAATAATAACAAATGCAGTCGCTATAGGAGATGGCGTGCGAGTGGTCATATCTTCATTTAAGCGGCACGCTCCTCTGGACTCGTGCTTGTTGTTTTGCAGCAAGTGGTGTCATCGTGCATTTTTTGTCGCATAATAGCATCAAGAAATGCCCGCCCACTTGTTTTCATATTGCTCATAGGTAAATTTATTTATTTACTTCTGTGTTATATACCATCCCGGGTTGACAGTCGTGAGCCGTTCTTACTCCGAAACTGAAATGTGCGCTTGTAGTTTTCTGGCATTTTTTACGGCTTTATATCTCGATTCAAATAATAATAATAATAATAATAATAATAATAATAATAATAATAATAATAATAATAATAACATGTGGGGTTTAATGTCCCAAAACCACCATATGATTGTGAAAGACGCCGTAGTGGAGTGCTCCGAAAATTTTGACTACCGGGGGTTCTTTAACCCAAAATCTGAGCACATGGGCCTACAGCATTTTTGCCTCCATCGAAAATACAGCCGCCGCAGCCGGGATTCGATCCCGGGAGCCTCTGGCTTTTTACACGAGATGTCGTTATTTCACACACTCGAAGATTGTGTTTCTGTGCAATGCGTGTGAAATTTTCCGCACTCAACATACATAAACCAGCCTATCGGCGCTTCAAGCTTGCAATAGTGTGACATTATAGAGGTGCCATTCC